TTTTTTTTTTTTTTTTTTAAAGATCTCTTAAGAGATTATAACAGAGTATAGCCATCAATGGAGGTCACGTGGTCTGAAGACAAGCTCAGATATCAGAATAATAGCTGTAACTGCTGTTTTTGTCTTAAAACAGAATATATTATATTTCTGTGAGTTATTCACATTGTTTTTATTGTGAAATATAGACCTCATACGAAGAGTTATTATCCCTTTAATATTGCATCAAAATTGATGAAAAACCTACTTTGTACTCTGAACGAATACTTGTGAATTATTCTTTTAGTTTTGCCTGCGATAATCAGCATGACAACGTATAATACAGTTTTACGTAGTAGAATATGAAGTGCAGTCTTGTGTGTGCGTGCCTGTGGGGGTTACATTTACATGAGGTGTTATGTATTTTGAATTTTTGATATCGTTCATACCACTGCATTTGGGTAAAACTTTGCTCCATGAAACTTGCGATCAATGGGGTATAACAGCCCGCTTGGCGCCAGGTGTCGCTAGTGTGAATTCAGTCCTTCCACAGTCGCCATTTTGAAATAACACATGTGGGACTGTGACACTGCTCATAATAAACATGCCTCAGTATTGTTGTGTACCTGAATGTCAAAGTCGGCAAGGTGGGCATAATTTTTCTGAGGATTCAGGGCTTCGTTTGAAGTTGAGTGTTGTCCATGTCAACACACCTTTCCATGTTAAATGGCCAGTCACAACTTGACCCAGGCACAGTAATTAGAGATAGACGAGTTGCCTCAAAATGAATACACATAGAAAGGTTTATTGATCTTAGCAAAACTTACAAAATTTTGAAAAGAGAGCTCCATAGCGAGAAAGTGCCCCTAGGAGGTATGATAATCAAAGTGCATTTTCTTACGTCCAATTTCAGAAGAGAGATTGTCAGTAAATATGCAAAAGTACCGGTACTACCTGCATAAGGTTGTATTATTATAAGTGATATCCTTTTGTATTGATTTAATGAGGTTGACAGGCAATGTTAAATAAAATAATCATTTTTTTATTTTAAAAAAATTATTCAGTCCACAGTAAGAATCATGAAACTATGTAATAATTAGATAATTTATTTGTGCACCAACTTTCCTGAATGTATAGCTGCAATTTCTCAGCCAGTGGAATACTGCAGGTTTGGAAAACTTTTTGTTACAGTTTGAGAAATAAAATTTAAAGTAAGTAAACATTTTACAAATGAACACAGTTTTTTTTTTTTTTTTTTTTTTTTGTTCTTTTTACATTGTAGCACTTCTGAATTATTTTACTTGAACAGAACCACCAAAATACTTCATCACTGAAAATTCATTAAAAACGCAGCAAAATCAAATTATTTGCAGAATAGAACAGAACTACCAAATTATTTCATCCCACCAAAAATACTTAACAAAATAGTATCATAGAATTTTTTTTTCATTACTGTTAAATATTATTAAAAACAGCATAACCACATAAGTGCTTTTTTGTAAAGAATATAGCACCACCAAATTACTTTATTACGGTAAAAAAACGAAAAAAAACAACTTAACCATATTTGTTCTGTATTGTAAATAATATAACATCATCAAATTATTTCATTGCACTAAAAACGCTTTTAAAGATTGCACCACCAAATTATTTCATTTTAGCTACGTTTTTCAAAAAGGCACTTCAAAATTGTGATTGCAGCTAAGCAATCTCCTACCATTTCATACTTTCTACAAACTAGCTGCCACATACTTCCTATAGTATTTTTCATCAAATAAAGTGCGCCTTGACAAAATGCATGTCGAAAAATATCCAGTGTCAGAATGCATCACCTCCACAAACAGATCTTTGCATGTATACACAACAAAATAGCAGAATGAGCGATTTGTAATGAACATGTGGCTTTGTAACTGAGTATAGTATTTGTGTGTTTTCTTTAGGTGCAGAGCACCAGATACACATTACAAAAAGGGGAAATCGGGTCTGGGACCAACTCATGTGTCTGCAATGGTTTTGGACACAAAAATAACTCAAACAGTTTGTTCTTCTCTGTAGCTGCCATTATCTCTCCAAATCTGGAAGCAATGATCCGCCATTGTTTCTCACTGTGCCAGATTGTGCTCTTTCCTAGTTGTAAGGTGCTACCCTCAGTGTCCTTGCTGTTTGTACCTCAACCTGAAATATTCATGTCCCATTAAAGCATGGAAGATTGTACATCATTAACTAGTTTCAATCCAATATTATAATTCTATGATGGCACACATCATCTAGTTTGATAATTGTCTGATTCTTAATATTAGACCTCTGTTTTCACTTACATCATTCCCTCTATCAACGCTTTATTTTATCCATGGCACTTGGCAATAATCATGAGCCACCACTGCCGCCTGCAAGTCGGCTTTAAGGTAGGCATATCTGGTGGCTACATCAATCTTTGACAATGATAGTCCAGGAAATTGGTGAAAAATTGTGCATTTTTTACCTACAAGCATGAAATTTGGCACACTTATGGACAATGAAATTCTAAGCAAATTTGGATATATGGGCATGTCTGAAAATTCCAAAATGGCCGTCAAATCCAATATGGCCACCAAAATACCTTTTCAAATTAAAACTTCAAGTACATAGTCTTCTAATGACTTGAAATATCATATAAAGGTTAGAAAACACCATGGTATGAATCCTTCAGGTGTATCAAATCCAAAATGGCCACCAAAAGTAAAAAAGCAGACCATTTATTCAAGATATCCATTTGAATGGGGAATTCATCAAGCACTTAAAACTACAAGCATAAAATTTGGCAGGTTTGTGGAAAATGAAATTCTGAGCAAGTTTGGATGTATGGGCATATCCGAAAATTTAAAAATGGCCTTCAAATCCAAGATGGCCTCCAAAAATACGGCTTCTAATTAAAACTTCAAGTATATAGTCTTTTAAGGGCGTAAATATCATACAAAGGTTAAAAAACACCACAGTATGAATTCAGAATCAATATGTGCTTTTTTAGGTGTATTAAATCCAAAATGGCCGCCAATAGTAAAAAGCACTCTACTAATCCAAGATATCCAGCAGAGTGGTTAATTCATCAAAAACTACAAGCATGGCATTTTTTACAGTTGTAAAACAGGATTCCAAGCACTTTTGGATGTATGAGCATGTCTAAAAATTTCAATATATGGCCCCCAAATCCAATATAGCCGACACAAATACCCGTTCAAATTAAAACTTCAAGTATATATAATCCTATAATAACTTAAGATAACATTTTATGGTTAGAAAAGACTATGGTATGCATGAAGTATCAATATTTTATTCTTTAAATGTATAGAAATCCAAAATGGCCTCCAAAAATAAGAAAAACAGGCCACTCACAGCAGCAGTATGGTGAATTCATCATGCACTTGGCTCAATTGTACAGAACAGGAATCTAAGCAATTTGTTATATAGGGACATGTCTGAATATTCTAATATGGCCACTAAAACCCTTTTAAAGTAAAAAAAGACTACTATATAATCTGACTGACAACAGTCTTTACTCTTTTTTGGTTTTTCGCTCCTTTAGTTACATTTAGACACAAATGACCATAAAAAATGGACTAGGACTCCTTTTGGTCTAGTTGTGACACCACATGCAGCAATTCTATTAATGTCAAGGATATGAAAATGTCAAGGTATTTTCACAAATAAGTTTCAAATTAACGAATGTTATTTTATCAAGTAAGTGTTGCACATTTTATGGGCGGTCAACCTTTTACTTTAGTAAATGGACAATATCTCAACAGAGGATAAAAGCTAACTACACCGAAATTTCTACTTATTTGGTTAAATAATTTTCATTCATTAATGTGTGCCTAGCTTTACTAGTAGTTGTGTTTCCATCAGCTTTCCCAGTATTTCCTTAAAGCTACAGCACCTACATGTAATCCACTTTCCCCAACAAAATACCAAGAGGCATTGGTCGTTTTTAACACCAGAAAGCATCAGTTTACATGCATGAGGGTCAATAGGAATATGAAAGTGTGGTAGGGCATATTAGTAGATGTAGGTTACTAGTGTGAACCCTTATAGGACCATTCTTCCAATGCTTCTGACTCCCCTCATAGCAACTGCACACATAACTACAAACAGATGTGGTAGGAGCTACCTGGTAGATTTTGTTAGCTGGGTAAGTGAATACTCCTCATGGCTTCATTCTGGATTGTCCCACAGAGACAATGATGCTGGAAATCTCATGAATTTTTACCTTTCAAAGTCCATATTGCACTAATTTCTTGGTGTAATGCTCAGAATACACCGTTTTTTGAAGTTTTGTATGTATTAACAGTCTGGAGGATTTTAATTCTTTTATTTTCATGTTCAGTTTTTTGAAAGTATAGGTTTGTAACTAAACAAGTTGCCAAATGATCAAATGAAAACCAAAGTTTGGCGCCTATCAGTGCTTCTTTTTTAGTGCACGAAGTGTGAAGCCTGCAATGCAACTCTTGGATACAACACGTATCAACACCTGCCCTCTGTTTGGGGTACGGGGTACAGGTATTTCTTTGCTCATAAATTTCCACTAAATTCTCGGTAGCCATTACTGCGAATGTACTAAAGCCAATTTTTTATATNTAACTGCTGTTTTTGTCTTAAAACAGAATATATTATTTTTCTGTGAGTTATTCACATTGTTTTTATTGTGAAATATAGACCTCATACGAAGAGTTATTATCCCTTTAATATTGCATCAAAATTGATGAAAAACCTACTTTGTACTCTGAACGAATACTTGTGAATTATTCTTTTAGTTTTGCCTGCGATAATCAGCATGACAACATATAATACAGTTGTACGTAGTAGAATATGATGTGCAGTCTTGTGTGTGCGTGCCTGTGGGGGTTACATTTACATGAGGTGTTATGTATTTTGAATTTTTGATATCGTTCATACCACTGCATTTGGGTAAAACTTTGCTCCATGAAACTTGCGATCAATGGGGTATAACAGCCCGCTTGGCGCCAGGTGTCGCTAGTGTGAATTCAGTCCTTCCACAGTCGCCATTTTGAAATAACACATGTGGGACTGTGACACTGCTCATAATAAACATGCCTCAGTATTGTTGTGTACCTGAATGTCAAAGTCGGCAAGGTGGCCATAATTTTTCTGAGGATTCAGGGCTTTGTTTGAAGTTGAGTGTTGTCCATATCAACACACCTTTCCATGTTAAATGGCCAGTCACAACTTGACCCAGGCACAGTAATTAGAGATAGACGAGTTGCCTCAAAATGAATACACATAGAAAGGTTTATTGATCTTAGCAAAACTTACAAAATTTTGAAAAGAGAGCTCCATAGCGAGAAAGTGCATAGGAGGTATGATAATCAAAGTGCATTTTCTTACGTCCAATTTCAGAAGAGATATTGTCAGTAAATATGCAAAAGTACCGGTACTACCTGCATAAGGTTGTATTATTATAAGTGATATCCTTTTGTATTGATTTAATGAGGTTGACAGGCAATGTTAAATAAAATAATCATTTTTTTATTTAAAAAAAATTATTCAGTCCACAGTAAGAATCATGAAACTATGTAATAATTAGATAATTTATTTGTGCACCAACTTTCCTGAATGTATAGCTGCAATTTCTCAGCCAGTGGAATACTGCAGGTTTGGAAAACTTTTTGTTACAGTTCGAGAAATAAAATTTAAAGTAAGTAAACATTTTACAAATGAACACAGTTTTTTTTTTTTTTTTTTTTTTTTTTTTTTAACATTATAGCACTTCTGAATTATTTTACTTGAACAGAACCACCAAAATACTTCATCACTGAAAATTCATTAAAAAAGCAGCAAAATCAAATTATTTGCAGAATAGAATAGAACTACCAAATTATTTCATCCCACCAAAAATACTTAACAAAATAGTATCATAGAATTTTTTTTTCATTACTGTTAAATATTATTAAAAACAGCATAACCACATAAGTACTTTTTTGTAAAGAATATAGCACCACCAAATTACTTTATTACGGTAAAAAAACATGAAAAAAACAGCTTAACCATATTTGTTCTGTATTGTAAATAATATAACATCATCAAATTATTTCATTGCACTAAAAACGCTTTTAAAGATTGCACCACCAAATTATTTCATTTTAGCTACGTTTTTCAAAAAGGCACTTCAAAATTGTGATTGCAGCTAAGCAATCTCCTACCATTTCATACTTTCTACAAACTAGCTGCCACATACTTCCTATAGTATTTTTCATCAAATAAAGTGCGCCTTGGCAAAATGCATGTCGAAAAATATCCAGTGTCAGAATGCATCACCTCCACAAACAGATCTTTGCATGTAAACACAACAAAATAGCAGAATGAGCGATTTGTAATGAACATCTGGCTTTGTAACTGAGTATAGTATTTGTGTGTTTTCTTTAGGTGCAGAGCACCAGATACACATTACAAAAAGGGGAAATCAGGTCTGGGACCAACTCATGTGTCTGCAATGGTTTTGGACACAAAAATGACTCAAACAGTTTGTTCTTCTCTGTAGCTGCCATTATCTCTCCAAATCTGGAAGCAATGATCCGCCATTGTCTCTCACTGTGCCAGATTGTGCTCTTTCCTAGTTGTAACGTGCTACCCTCAGTGTCCTTGCTGTTTGTACCTCAACCTGAAATATTCATGTCCCATTAAAGCATGGAAGATTGTACATCATTAACTAGTTTCAATCCAATATTATAATTCTATGATGGCACACATCATCTAGTTTGATAATTGTCTGGCCCCGTATGCACAAAAAATCCTTATCTTAAGTGAAAAATTCTCCTTAACTTCATAAGAAAATTCTTAGCTGAGGAAACCCCTTAAGTGGTATGCATAAAGTGCCTTAAGAATTTCCTAAGCCAAGAATTTTCTCAAATAATAGGAATTTCCTCAACTCTGTAGGATTTCTCTTATGTGTTGAGCTATGTTTAGCCTGTGCATTGACCAATAGAATTGCCTGTTACAATAGCTCACACTGGGGAATTCCTGGGGAATCCATGTTTGAATGAATCCTTTACTTGGATATGAGCAAGCACATTGGTGTGTATTAAACTTATACACTGTGTTGCATGTGCCTCAAACATGGCAGATAAGAAAAGAGGGCCCAATTGGAGTTGTGAGGAGAAAGAGGTACTTGTTGAGGAATTTTTAAAGCAGAAACACATACTCAGGGGACGATTCTCTACTAAGATCACAGCACAAGCCAAAAAAGATGCATGGACCAAAGTAATGAATGGTGTAAACCAGACAAATCCTGATATGAAGAGAGACATCGAAAGTGTCAAAAAGAAGTGGGACAACCTCCTTTCAGGTGCAAAAAAGGACATCATCGATTACAAAAAGGAACTGAGGAAAACCGGTGAGTGAAATGCCAATGCTTTATTTGTCCACATTATAGCCTACATTTGCTAATAGCCTATAGGCCTATCAGTTATTATTAGAAGAGTTGAGATATCAATCGTGTAGGCCAAGAAGTTGTAACTTCTTGTGTAGGCCTAGTATTCTTCATACTCTGACAGAAAAAGAGGCATGCCATCAAATCCCCAGACCTAATTAACACTAATAATAATAATCCAGTGACATAATTACATTTTAGCAAAAGGTTTTATCTCTTATTGGCTGATACATGTGCACCCATCTCCCTTATCGGCGATAATTCATAATTCAGGCCCAAAAAATATTAGTTTATCATCATTGTCACCTACAAGAAGTGATTCAGTAGAGCGTATTTTTTGTTCATACAAAAACACATTAAATTTAACCAACGATGCCCTCCGGACCGTCATTACATACACTTAAACATGGAACGTGCCATAAGCAAAGCTAGTAGTAACATAAATTGCAGTAAGAGGTACTCTTAGTACAGGGAGAGTCTGTTTAACTTTTTGTGCATAAGGTGCACATTCGATGGGGAAAATTTACATTATAATTTTTTTATGTGAGCAGAAAAGGTAATGCAGCCGGGGATGATAAAGTAACATTTTTCATGGGCCCTAAAAAAGAAATTAGGCCAGCATATACTTATTTCATGACTATGGCCATTTACATAACATCAACTTACATATTTTAAGTGTTATCTGTGATGAAAAATTGTGGCATGTAATTCATAATATTTATATTAATTTTAATTATTAATTTCACTATTGACCCCACGTATGCACATATTTAATACCTATTGAATAAGCATTGATACGTGAGATTCCGTGTTATCAGGTGGTTTTCAGGGATTTCATTAGCAACATATCTTAAAAAGTGCCCACTCAAAATTTTTCACTTTAGTAATCCCTTAACAGAACGACAAATCACAAATGTATTTGGTTGGAGACTCATGCATATATTCGCTTTCATTTCAGGAGGTGGTCCACCACCACGTGAACTGCCTGCTCTCACAAAAAAAAAATATGGGAGGTTTTCGGAGAAGACTCACCATCGTTGGGAGGACAAGAATTTGGTATCGAGTCTGGATTAGAAATAGAAATGGCTCCTGCAATACATAAGCCAGCAAATGCTGATGAGGAGGTTGAAAGCAGCTTCCCAATTCCAGCTGATTCTGATGAAAATATGTCATGGTATGGATATCAATATCGAAATATTTTCCAAGAATAATTGAAATACAACTTGTCATGGAAATGATGTTAATTATGATGAAATGAATTACAATCTACTCAATGTGATGGCCAAGGGCTACCAGTTGTGACAGGTTAAAGCTGTTTATGGATCTCTTTTGATTTGACTGAAGTTTTCTACATTTAGTTTTAAAATTCCCACATAAATCCTTCTCTCAAAATTGAACCACCACACTTGATAATTACTTTATGTTTCAAATTACAGTATAAACATAACGTTTTGTGTTGTAGCATAGCAAAATGTTACGTTTATTATTACTTCATGTGAAAAAGTAAAAAAAAAAAAGAAAAAAAGCAGTAGCTGCTGCTCATGCAACTTGATGAAAAATCCTTATGCACAATATTTATTTTCTTTTGAAGGCTGCCCAGAATAAGCCCTAGTCCATCTTCCACTGGCTGCCCTACTTCCACTCCAACATCAAGTCGATGTCCTACTCCAAATGAAGCAATAGTTCCAGTTATCCGGAAGCGTAAAGTAGTGGATACTTCAGATACAGTGGTGGAAATTCACACCCTTCACAAAGAGGTTCTCCAGGCTGAAAAAGAAAAACTTGGACTGGAGCAAAAGAAGCTTAAGTTGGAAATCGATAAATTATCCTTGGAAATAGAAGTATTGAAGCAGAAGAAACAAGATCAGTGGAAACAGCAGCAACAACAGATTGCCCAGTTTGGGGATTCCAACAAAGGCAACAGCTGTAGTAATATGTACAGTACAACTTCCAACACCTATAGACAAATGTAACTCTAACGTGCCTCAAAATATTTATATCAGAAATACTGACAATCAAATCATAACATTTGCATCAGATCAGTGAAGCAATCCTTTTATAATTATTTTTACTGCAGTTGTTCATATGCTGACAACATAAGGTCATTGCTGGAAAGTGTGACATATATTTTTTTGTTATTATTTAAATTAAAATTTGGTACATTCCATAAAAAGATTATCCTACATCAGGTTGAACCACTGCTATTTATGTGTTTCAAATGTATTACACTTGAGTCAGATAAACATTGATGTACACAGTGCCATTGGAAATGGCGATAATATATATTTAGCCATTGTTTTCAAGTTTGTTTAAAAATAAAATGTATCTTTTGAACATGGATTTATGCTTACCCTTACTGGAAGTACTGCTGAACGTAACGTTCTCTGGTAGCATTGTCAGGCCCATTATTAGGTACTGGATCAACCTCAGGCTGGATATCAATCCCTTCATCATCGAAATCTGGAAGATTCATGTCCATGGCCAGGTTATGCAAGATCGCAGTAGCTGCAATGACGCGGCATGCTTTAAGTGGTTGTAAACGAATCTCATCATAAAGGCAACGGAATCTTCGTTTCCAAATTCCAATTGTACATTCTACAGTTGAAGACCGAGTCCTGGTTTGAGCATTGTTGTATCTCTGTTGAGCTGGATTTTGTGGATTCAGATAGGGGGTCAAAATCCATGATTTGCAGGAATATCCACTGTCCCCCAGAAGTATTCCATTATGGGCTCTCCTTTCAAATGCATCTCCAACTTCACTCTCACGAAGTATACGAGAATCATGAGTACTCCCTGGCCATCTTGCCACTATGTTTGTAAATCTCCTCCTGGCATTACTTATCACTTGTACATTTATGGAATGGAAATTCTTCCGGTTGACATAATCTGCCTCATACTGATGTGGTGATATGATTTTCACATGTGTTCCGTCTACTGCTCCTATAACGTTTGGGAAATGGGCTATCTCATAGAATGTGTTTTTGACAGCTGCAAGTTCATTGTTCGGTGGAAATCTCACAAATTCATTGATATGTCTTAGGAGAGCATTTGTAACCCTGTGATTGATTCGACAAGCAGTACTCTGATGTATTCTAATTGTATCTGCAACAACTTGCTGAAAGCTCCCACAGGCATAGAACCTTAGGGTAATGAAAACTTGTAGTAAGGCAGGAATTGCATGGCTTCTGTTAGTGGGTGGTTCAATATCCTCTGCCAGAAGATCCGTAATGAAAAGTATCCCCGCTCTGTCAAAACGAAATCGCTGGTAAATCTCATGATCTGGGTAAAAATCAAAAGGATTTTCGCGGTCCCGAAATATTCTTGGTCTTGCGACTGCCCTTTCCAGTTCATCCACTTCTTCACGATAAACAGCAATAATAAGAGCCATAGAGAAATAATGTTGCTGCACAGCTTTGACTAGCACAAATGAATGCCACTGTGTTGTACAGTCACTGAATCTGAGGACAAAATTTCCACTTAAGAGACCCAATGAGGTACCTTAAAGTTAAGGAGATATTTGGGGAAATTCTCATCTTAAGATGCTTTATGCATACCACTTATGTTAAGGATGATCACTTAAGGAAATTCTTAGGGAAATTCTTAAAAAAATACACTTAAGATGTTTTGCGCATACGGGGCCTGATTCTTCATATTAGACCTCTGTTTTCACTTACATCATTCCCTCTATCAACGCTTTATTTTATCCATGGCACTTGGCAATAATCGTGAGCCACCACTGCCGCCTGCAAGTCGGCTTTAAGGTAGGCATATCTGGTGGCTACATCAATCTTTGACAATGATGTGAAGTGATAGGTCAGATTCCTGGAAGTAATCATTGTATCCTGCTCTACTGTAGTTGGTTGGTCTGGGGTCCTGAAACCGACAGTTTGCATTGCCCCCAATATTATGAGCCTTCTCTGGAGAATCTTATGAAGAAAATAAATAAGTACATTTATTAAGTATAATAAATCTTCAGCTTTGGTTCTACTAAAAAAAATATGAGCGTACTCGTACATAGTCTACATACATTGTAACATGACAGATATGACGCTCACACACCTCGACTAATCTTTGATTTTTTTCAAAGAAAATACTTTGCATTCGTGTGTTTCAAGCACTAAATGAAAATAAAACACATACCTTTCAATCAATTCACATGTTCTTCATGTTGTTATGGCACCACATTCAAGTAATTCGAAAATGGCAGTATTTGTAGAGAAAAAAAATGTAATTTTCAGTTTTTAAGTCCTTTCGTATGGTGTTATTATGGTGTTTAGCTCAAATAATAAGGTATATGCTATACTTTTCAAATCTTGCAAAATGTCAGTTTAGACTCTCTCTTTTTTATGTACAGACACAGATGTGTCTGTACATGTAGCCGTCACCTGCGTCTGTCGTCGCCGTCGCCGTAGGCCGTCGCTGTGCACTCAGCGAAAACACGATAAGTGGAATACCGTTTTACATTTTGTATTCAAATTTACAGAACTGATGAATATTCATAATACACAGGTCAAGTTCGAAAATCAGCATGATCGGGCCATTTTTAGGGAAGTTATGCTGTTTTTTCACTTTTTTAGCATTATTATAACACCGATAACACGATAAGTGAAAAACCATATTACTTTTTGGCTTGAAACTTACAAAACTGATGAATATTCATAATACTCGGGTCAAGTTCAAAAATCAGCATGATCAGGCCATTTTTAGGGAAGTTATGCTGTTTTTTCACTTTTTTCAGCATACATGCAGCACCAAAAACAAGTGGAAAACCATTTTACCTTTTGGCTTGAAACTTACAGAACTGATGAATATTAATAATACACAGGTCAAGTTTGAAAATTGGCTTGATTGGACTATTTTTACAAATTTAAAGTTATGCTGTTTTTTTCCATTATTCCATTATGCAACACTGATAACGCATTTTAAGGAAAACCAATCACCCTTTTGTCTTGCAGCAGGAGTGATTAGTCTGACTAGTATACAGATCAAGTTTGAAAATAAGCATGATCAGTCAAGTTTTGATGAAGTTATTAGCTTTTTTGTATATAAGTGGTTTTTCTTCAGATTTAATTCTTAGGCATGTTAACAGTCTCATTATGGAACTAATTAGATATGTAAAAGTGTTGTTTTGACATTTTCTGCTTCTTAACAATATTGTTAGTTGATTATATACACCCCATTTCCATAGATTAGATCGACCTACTTTAGATCGACCTAACTCCCTGGGGGTTCACGCTAAATAGCTGTCAGCCGGGCGGACACGAAAGTTAATTCCTTCCAGCTTGTAGTAGGCGGGACGGAAACTTAAGGCGGATTATCTGACAGTAATCTAGTGAGACTCCCCGCGGTGATAGATCGATCTAAAGTTGTGGGAATAGACCCTAAGAATGACGGTACACCTTTTATTGTGCATTGTGTAATAAAGTGTCAAAAATGGAAAGGAACTCATATCATTAGTTAAGAATCTCAGAATGGAGCAAGTTGGACATAAATTTGTTCTATTGATATTTTTCCTTTGACAACATATTTTTTAATTGATCATATAAAAATGACAGTAAATCAATTATTTTGTTTTATGTGAAAAAGGTGTAGAAAATGGAAATAAACTCTTTTCAATACAGTTTTCCCTTGTTTAGATTTTGGGATTTTCAAAGTGTGACTCTGAACTCTATGGCCTAGACACATTTTCTGAATATCCATGATAGTTTTATTTTATCATTAAAAAACTGATGGTTATTATGCTGTTAAGCATTGTGTAATATTGCATCAAAATTGAACAAAACCCTATTCTGGGCACTGCCTCCGTAGTGACCGTGAAAGGAAAACCATGTCACTTGCTCTTTTCACACTTAAAGGAAAGAAATGTAGGACTGAAATACAGCCTCAGTTGGAAAATCTGTCTCATTAGTTTATTTTCTGGAAGTTATAGTTTTTTTTTTTTTTTTTTTTTTTGTGAAAATTTTTATCTTTCACATACTGGAATTTTCAATGTGGGACTTACAGCTCCCTTGGGCATGAAGCCCAGTGGTAATCAAATTTTCTTAATGTACATGTTTTTAATAGTAGATATTTAAAAATTGCTGGTATTTATATATTTATAATCATTATGTAATGTTGCATCAAAATTGACAAAAAACCTACTTTGAGCACTGCCACCATTAACATTATGGAAAGAAACTGTTACTTTCTATTTTTTCAACTAGTCTTACAAGAAAGATTCTTAAGATTTACATACAGCTCATATTAGAAAACCAGCTCTATTAGATTATCATTTTTATTAAATTTATGTTTTTTTTTTTTTTTTTTTTTTTTTTTTTGTGAAATTTTTTATCTTTCACATACTGGAATTTTCAATGTGGGACTTACAGCTCCCTTGGGCATGAAGCCCAGTGGTAATCAAATTTTCTTAATGTACATGTTTTTAATAGTAGATATTTAAAAATTGCTGGTATTTATATATTTATAATCATTATGTAATGTTGCATCAAAATTGACAAAAAACCTACTTTGAGCACTGCCACCATTAACATTATGGAAAGAAACTGTTACTTTCTATTTTTTCAACTAGTCTTACAAGAAAGATTCTTAAGATTTACATACAGCTCATATTAGAAAACCAGCTCTATTAGATTATCATTTTTATTAAATTTATG